ATCTAAACCTAATATAGAATAACACATTTTCAAAAACATGTTCTCTGACCAGAATTGAAGCCAATGGATATTACTATATTAAAACCTAAGGGGGAAATCCCCAAATAATATACTAATTAAAATATATATGTATATGTATAAAAAAGCTGTCTACTGAAAACTACTTTTGTCAGGAAATGTTCATTTTCTTCACAAGAATAATTGATAGTTTAAAAAACATTGCAGAACATCATGAAAACTTTCAAAATGTAGGCCTTGTCTTCACAGACAACCCCGATTTTTCTACGTGAATCATTTTTTAAAAACATTTATTCATGTAGATAAATATCCAGCGGAACCAGCATTAAATCACTGCAAACTGTGCTAACCTAGCCAAACTGTTTAATGATACAGCAGTAAAATAATCAATGAAGTAATGGAGGAGACAAAATGGTTGTGAATATTATCCAGAAACAGTCAGAAAACCCTTGATAGGTGATATTTAATTTATAAAACTGTTAAGGAAGAATTTGACTACTTTGCAAATGTATGAGGAACCTGCAACAAAATACTACCCAGAAGAACTTGTGGCCAGCCGCAATAAGTTCTTCATGACCTGTAGAGTGTTAAAGAACATAGGCCTAGATATAGTAGATTATCTAAAGCAGAGGTCTCCAACCTTGGCAACTTTAAGACTTGTGGACTCCAGCAGCTGGAGAATTCCACAAGTCCACAAGTTGCCAAAGTTGGAGACCTCTGATCTAAAGCACCAGAGAGCACTGAACCACTTTGAACTTCAAAGGTGGCCCTTTCAGATCTTAAGTCAGATATTTTAACTAGCTCACTACAATATCTTTCAATACTGATGAGTAGCATCACGACATCAGACAGTATTACAACTTCACATTTGATCCAGCAAGATTGTATCAATTCCTCTTTTAAGAAAAACTGGGCACTGCCATTCCCTAGCTAACATTGAAAATGACATATATTAACTTATCTAAGATGATAATGATTTCAAGCACATGCACACACAGAGACCTTCCATAAACCTCCTGGTGAAAACAACACAAGTTATAGAAAGGAATAAAAATTCATGGCAGACTGAACAGCAGAAAAGCCAGCAACTTACTAAAACTTACAAAAATAGATGCTGCTGTGTTTCAAAGGGCACAATTCTTTGTTTATTAACGCAACATCGCTATTTACCTGTACTTCTTACTAATTATATTGCTTTACTACATCTTGCCTTGTTTGTAACATTTGCCTGTCCCTGCTCCCAAGTACTGTTCAAATGTTTCCTGTTGGTTCTTGCTTCCCTTTTTTTCCTCATGTTTGCAAACATTGCACTAACACATAGGATGGCCCAACAGCTTCTCTTCGGGTATTATAATTTCTCTCTACATCAAATTCGGCCTATTAAAACTAAAAGCCAAGTTGGTTGTTGCTCCAAACAAGACAATTAACTAATCACCAGCAGTCTAGAAAACAACATAAAAGATCCACAAAATAATTTTAGTACCCTTCTTCTCTCTTTCTGTTTATCTGGGTGACAGTTCCATGCACCTTTTCAGATTCTAAGAACAATAGTTTAGCAGAAGGATTATATCTGAAATCAGTACACACCCTTTATTTTTACCAAAGAGAGGTGCGGTATATAGCCAATCCAGAAACTGCATGGAATCCTTCCACTTGACTATACTGTTCGACACTAGTTTAGTTTACTTTAATGTCATTGCACCTCGCACAACGAAATTAAATACCATCTTCAGTGTACATTATGACTATGAAAATAAACACACATCCTTCCTTCACATTCTATACATTGAATTGAAACCCCTTTTTATTGTAGATCCTTTTGCGAGATTGTGGAAAATGAAAGAGAGCTGCATTTTAGTGGGGTTTTACTGAAATTTGGCATGCACATTTGTTTGCACAACTATCAAGATACATTGTAGTGAATAGGGAAAAAAGATAGAAAATATATTTCTCCGTAGGGTTACTGTGATGAAGACCTTGTTCCTGCAAAGGGATTAGCTAAGCAGCTTGGCAGCTGAACAGAGACAGTCAGAACAATTCATACTGGGCCTTCATCTATTTAAAAACAATTTTCTAAGATTTGTAGGAGTGTTCTAAGATGAAACATTATACACATTCAATGTGGGTTGAATGGAATCAATGCACATACAATTGGGGCTGCACAGCTGCTACATTCATTTATTTGTTTTTATACTATCAAACCCCTAATTTAGTGTATTTGAGAGAACAGGGCAGGGATGCAAAAAAAAAAAAAATGTAGCTTATGAATCACTTGAGGAGATTCCCTTTTCAGCCTGCCCACACATATCCTCCAGTTCTTTTATTTTTGTATGGTCTTTTGCTTCAGGGTTTTTTTCAAGGAGAAAAATGGATGTCTAAAGTTGTGGAGAGGCCGATTCCCCCAAACAGGGATGATTAGTTGAGTATGTGCATTTAGGGAAGGAAAAACTCTTTGGAGTTTTGTTTTTTGTTTTTTTAAAAAAACATGTTATTTTGGCCACTAGATTTTTTTTTTTTTCTTGTTATAATATATGAGAGAAGACAACTCTTCAAATGGTGGTCTCTCAAAAGTTTTTTTAAAGCGTTCTGGAAAGGGCACAGCCAAAAATATAAATGATGCATGAAATAAGAATTGACATTTTCCTAAATCCCAACTAGTCTGAATTTAGATTGTTGGTAAAAAATGTTTTGATTCAAAACAAACAATAAATCAATCTTTACAGATGCGATTCATACACATGCTGCTGGTTTTCAAGTTCACCTACCACAAACAGGAAATGAAATTGTAACAGCAGTTTCATGGCAGTATTAACTTGAGTCGATAACCAGTGAATTGCACATATCTGTGTTTGCTGCAAGCGTCAAGAGCCAGGTGCGTATATCAGGCGTAAGCCATGGTTGCTTAATAAAAGCATCATTACTCATTGTTATTTCAAATTCTTGTTCCCATAAACATACATCACAACCCATAAGCAATCTCCTTAGCATTGCTGGGCACTTCTGCAATAACACCCGCAACCTATTAAATAGTAATAGCACACAAAAGAAAGAATATAACATCATTAAATCAGGAAATAAAGGATTAATAATAGATATTTTCATAACTTTGCACATTTGAATTTCCTTTGTTTGTTTGTTTGTTTGGAAGCACAGAACTACTCATTCTGGAGACATATCACCCAAATGTCTGTATCCCAAGAACAGAAAACACAATTTCTCTCAATCTAAAGTTAAGGGACCTATATTTACAACCAACAAACAGAATGTAACTTTCTTGTACTAAATTCTCCATTCTTTGCATATGTCTGAAAACTCTAAACTGGATGGTCTTATTGATCTCAACAAGCTGCCAGGTTTCACTGCACAACTTTCCCACTATTTAGAAAACATTCCAACATAACAGAAACAGATAATTTTATAATGACTCCTCCATTATAAAGAGCAAAATAAATTAGGTTTCCCAATGAAGTTATCTTTTGTATTACAACATGCTTAAGTCCAAATGTGTGGCTACTTCAATACCAGAATTGGAGAGATGTCAGCCTTTCAAGCAGCCAGAAGACCGACACAGATTTAGTGTTTCTGCAGTACAAAGCGATTCATAACACAATTCTCCACAATAGATTAATAGGAAAGACAATTCCTGTGTTCAGCTGGAAAAGCTTCACTTTTGAGTGCTGCCAAGAGCTGAAAACCGTCAACAGTTAATTCACAGCTGCAAGTGACATACAAGCTTTGAAAAATTCAATGAGCTAGTTATTATTTGATAAAAAAAAAAGTGATGTCAAAGGAACACATAGGGGAGGCAGAATGGCATTTTGTGCACTGTTTTCGAGCAAAACCTCCATAGTATACAAGTCAATTACAGTTAGCTCCGTATCAAACCTAGGCCGAGCACATATTCTTCCTTGTTAATGGCAACTCTGGCAGACGGATTTGAGCTTTGCCGTACAGTTCATTCCATTACTAATTCAAAATGCTTGATTCTGCAAACACTTTTTGAAAAATAATTCTACTGATTTTTAATTTTATCAGCTGCTTTGTTTCTTTAATATTCTTCATCACTAATGCTTAACAGCACAGCAGTGATTTTAATATATTATTTTAACTCTCTTTTATGATGTGGTTTGAGGAAGAAAGAGGGAAAGGTGGGGAGAAACTTGTTCTAGTAAGTGAACAAGATCAAAACTATCCGGCTTTAAAAATATATATATTGAGGAAGCTTGTAAATGCTTGATGCTTAATTCCCCTAATACTATATAGAACTCCAGATTTTTATTATTGACAATACAACAACAATAATGCCTGAACTTGACAGCCAATTGAATCCTACTATTTGCTAGAGATGCCACCCAACAGAAAAAAAGAAAAATGAGTACAGCAGTGCATACACACACACACACACACACACACGGAAACTTCAGTGAGAAGCGGCCATCTGGCCATCTTACACAACAGTATAGTGAGCACAGGAAAGTTTGCTCAGATGACAATTTTTTAAATTCTAGGAAACAAAATTATAATAGACCTTGCCCTCTGCCGCCATCTGCCCTTATTTAAAATATGTCAACATTTATCCTTTAACAGATACAGAAACACACCTATTATATAGATATTATCCTATTGAGGATTATGACTACAAGTCCCAGAATCCCCGACAAACTGTCTCATTCTCAGTTCCTGGTGGAAGAAGATGCTTCACTAAAACTTAAAACGATCAGTACATTGCTGTCTTTCCTAAGTTTATGCATCCTGTGGTAAGGTGAACTATTGCGTGCATAGAGCCACACTAGCACTAAGTAGCAACTGATTCTCACCTTAAGAGCTCCATAAAGAGAGCTTCCATGGGGCACGCTCAGTTCTGATTACCCTCCTACTTAAAAACGCACACACAGCCTATGATTGGATGTTAATTATACAAATAATTGTGTTTAGTTTTGAGGCCAACGCACAGTCAAACCGAACACAGCTAGTACACCGACCTCAATTGGTTCCGCGGGTATTTTCAATTTGGGTAAGTTGGTCTTGATGTTGGTTTTTAAATTTGTTATTTTCCCATAGGGCTGTTCCTGGTATTCCTCTGGCAGTGGCTTGAGTTCGGGTGACTCATCTGGAGCCTGGTCTTGGCCATCCATTGGTCTAACGTAGGCAGTGGGTTTCTGTTGTATTGCACTTGTTTTTGATAAGGATGAAGGAAATGTCTGGCTGGAAAGCTGACCACTGACAGCTACAGTAGCAGTCGAAGTGTCCTCGTTTTCATTATCACGCGTGCTGGTCAGGAGGTCCTGGGATGGGGAGCTATTTTGCCCATGCTTTTCGATCTTACTGCTGAGGGATCTGGAACTGACACACTGGCCGGAATGTAGAGGGGACAGAGGTGGTACAGGGGAAGACAACGTAGACAATAAGGGAGAAAGTTCCATAAGGGAGAGTCGTGCCTCAGGTACAGTAGCTTTTTCAGTGGACTTCTTACTTTTCGGCTGACATCGACCACTTTGTAGTCCTTCAGTCTTGCAGCTCTTTGCAGGACCTGGCTTCTGGTAGCTAGGCAATCCGGCACTTTGTGAGGCGGGCTCCACTCTCGAGTGAATCTTTGGGTAGGAGCTGCCTACAGACGGAACATCCGAGCTAAGAGGTCCCCCGTGTTTGCGATGGTGGCTGTGGTTCTGGAATGGGGCGCCAGTCTTTTCAGAAAAGAGAGGACGATCTACTTTAGGCGGGGGGAATAGCGGCATGACACTTGTAGGAATCCCTATGAAATTCTGATAGAACTGGTTGACGATGAGCTCTTTCATCTCTTCATAATTGCCAAACATTTTCTGAATTCGGCTAGACAATTCATCGGCTTTGTTATTCTGAAATGAGAAAGAATGCCAAGGGGAAAAAAAAAGCAGTGAAGAAAAAAGAAACGGGAAGAGCAAGAAAAAAGCAGAAATAAGGTATTAAACCCGAAGAGCTGCTTGCCCATCAGCCTAAGAGCTCACTGATCAATTTGCAACCGTAGTTCAGGTTTTCTAAGAACTTGCAAACTACAGTCTTGCAGCGTTGTTCTTTGTGCAAAGGTGCAATGTCATGCAACTAAAATTACTCCACTTCCCCCAGCAGTCCTTTGAGGGTATGCTGAGCCCTTTTAACATGTTGCTGTTAAGGGAGAGGAGAGTATTAGAGTCCCAGACAGTTATTTCTATTTTTTGAGGCAATAACCCAAAAATAGATGGAAGAGAAATGGCACCACACATTAAATAAAGTCTAAATATAGGTACCTTAATACCTATGTGGCAACAACAAAAAAGTGAATACTCCATGCATTTGGAAAAAGTATTGCATATCTTTTGTAGTCACTGACCACAATGGGGGGGGGGGGGGGGGGGGGGGGGAGGAAAGGCTAATTTTAAGTTATCTTGATAAATCATTGGTCTACATCGAACTGCAATTGCTGGGAGTAAACTATCTTCTTAACTAGGAAAGGCTAGAGGTGAGGTATTGTTTGGACTTTGGGCAAATGAATGAATGGTTCAAGAATAAAATAGATATAAATGTTACCGAGGTTAATGGCTGCCACAATCACGGGTAGACAGCGATACTAAGGTCTGAAAAGGTGGCATTTATTTATCTACAGTATTTAGTTAATTTATATGGCTGCCCATTTACTTTCAGGTACTGTGGGCAGCTTACAAAAACAAAAAACAAACTCAATATAAAAAGAGTGAAAACAATAACACTCCAGCGACAACAGGCAATCAAACAAGCTATTTGATGAGTTCCATCCCACTCTGGGTTCCTCAGGCCCGTTGGCAAAACCAGATCTTCGAGGCCTTGAGAAAGCGTATCAAAGTGAGGACAGTCTAATTTCCACAGGGTTGATATTCCAGAGAGAGGGAGCCACCATGGAGAAGGCCCTTCTTCTGGGTTCCGCCAGATGTACCTCTTTAGGAAAGGGGACCAGCAACATTCCCTGCCTCTCTGGTCTAGTGGGTCGGGTGGATGTAACCAGGGGAAGAGATGGTCCTTCAGATCAACCTGGCTGTGTAGAGCTATAAAGGTGATAACCTGCGCTTTGAACTGCACCCGGAAGCAAATCGGCAACCCGCAAAAGAGATTATGTATGTGCACACCTGGATCTGCAAAAAACCATATGAGCTGCTGCATTTTGAACAAACTGAGACTTCCGGATGCTTTTCAATGGCATGTGGAGCACGTTGCAATAGTCAAGATGGGAGGTTTACTAGGATGAATGTCTTCAGTTTTGTAAAAGCTTAAGCTACCCATACTGTGTACTTCAAAAAAAAACAAAAAAAAAACCACACTGGCTTAGCATGAAAGATAGACCGAATCTAACTTTCAAATCCTCTTGAAACAAAGAAGCAACATGTAAAAACTAACAGCTCGCTCTATGATATAATGGAGATATGCTATGGATACCTTGTAAGGCGCTCCAAAAAGGGGAATATCTGCAGGGAACGCTTCTTGTTCCTGATGAGCTTCCTGATTTCGCCTTTCTTTTGCTTGAATGCGGAGCAAATTTCTCTCTTCGTTGTACAAGCTGTTGGGAGAACAAGCATTTCATCATGAAAGCAACACATTTTCAACTGACATTTTTTAAGAATTTCAAAGGAAGTTGGGTAATTCAGCAACTCAGGAAACTTGCACATTAACGGTTAGCTTCACAGCACCGCATATCTATGGACAGACAGGTAGACAACAGCTGAATGAAAAACTGCTGGTGACCTTCTACCGCTGCATCATAGAGAGTATTTTAACTTACTGCACCTCTGTATGGTTTGCCAATTGCACAGTGGCAGATAGGACAGCACTCCAGAGGGCTAACGTCATTGCCCAGAGGATCACTGGTAGCCCTCTCCCCTCTTTGGAAGAGCTTTATAGCTCCCGCTGCCTTAAGAAAGTTCAAAACATTCTCAAAGATCCATCTCATCCTGGGCACCCTTTTTTTGAACTATTACCATCTGACAGACGGTACAAAATAATAAAAACAAGGACAAATAGGCTGAAAAACTGCTTCTATCCCAGGGCAGTAGCTCTTTTGAATTCTACTGTATAGTGCAGTGTTGGTGCGGTGTCGGGGGTTTCTGGTTCAATGTGTGAAGGGTGAAGGATGTGTGTGTTTATTTTCATGGTCATGGTCATAATGTGCACTGAAGATGGTGTTTGATTTCGTTGTACGAGGTGCAATGACAATTAAAGATATGCAGAAAAACCTTTGGGGGAAAAATAGCAAGTCTCTGGATAGCTGTATTTCCCAAGGTTACCAAGTCATTGTTCAATTGGTTTTGTAAGTTTGAAGGAAGGTTGCATATCTCTTCATGATGATCTTCATTTCAGCCAGTTTTTGGATTCACACTTTAGGGAATACTGGCTGTCACGCTCACAGGGTGAATGGAAGCGGTTAATATTCTAAACTGAATCAAGAAGAGTTGCTTACTATAGCAATACAAGATCCAGTTCAGGTTGGAAACTTACACAACTTGTCTCACATGGTAGGCAATTGGGTAGAGGGAAGGAATGTTATGATATATGCAACAGCTTCTTGGCTTTTCTAAACCTTACACAACTTCAACATCTACCTTAACAAATTTCACAACAGCTGTCTTTGTAATCTTAAGGCACAAGAATATCCAAGAAGGCTGAATGCCCGCATATTTACATGCTCACAAAAAATAGTTATTACTCTCCTAACTTACAAAAGGTCACTTTTAAATGCTGCTCTATTTCCAATCTTTAAGAAAAGATTAAGCAAAAAGAAATTGATTCTGAAATTTCCCTAAATCGGGGTTTTCCATGACGGAATGAACTGGCGTTTTCCCTTCTAAGGGAAATTATTGTAAGGGTGACATGATAGCAGTATTCCAGTATTTGAGGGGCTGCCACAAAGAAAATGAAATCAGCTTATTTTCCAAAGCACCCGAAGGCAAGATAAGAAACAATGGATGGAAACTAATCAAAGGGAGAAGCAACCTAGAACTAAGAAGACATTTCCTGACAGAACAATTAATCAGTGGAACAGCTTTGCCTTCAGAAGTTGTGGGTGTTCCAGCACTGGAGATTTTTAAGAACAGACTGGACAACCACTTGTCTGAAATGGTATAGAGAGCACAGGCATCAAACTCAATTGCGTCACGTGACATACTGTGACATTTTTTTTTGCCTTTATGGAACCAGGGTAGGCGAGACCTGTGCGTGACGCATCCAGCCAATTGGACACCCCTGGCATAGTCTCCTACCTGAGCAGGGTGTTGGACTAAAATAGTCCCTTCCAGCTCTATTCTGATTGATATTCTATTCAGACGTGGTATTCAGCTGCTTTGGACCAGTTCTGGCATACCGGTAGCGGAAATTTTGACTAGTTCGGAGAACCGGCAAATACCACCTCTGACTGGCCCCACCCACCCGCCCCCGCCGTTACCTTTCCTATATTCCCTTGTTTTTTAGCTTGGCTCACGTGGCAGAGACGATTGCCGTGCCTCAGCTGAGCTAAAAAACGGATCAGCTCACCAGCGTTCAGACAGAGGTTGGCCTGTGAGCCCTGCGAGCTCTCATAGAACTGGAAAGAAAACATTTGGAAACCCACCACTGATTCTATTACAATTAAAAAAAGGGGAGGGAACATTTCATAGGTAAAATGCATGCAGGATAGCCCTGCCCTAGGGCATCTTTCTGTATGGCCTTATATATCCCATCTCCTCTCCTTTAATCTCCCCCAATATATATATTTCAGTGTTCAGGTTTTCCAGCTCTCCTCCCAGTGCAAATGTTGACCACTTGGGATAACAAATGGCAAATGTTGGTGGATTGCTCTCTGAACAGAGGCTCAGTTTTCACCCACCATAATGAAATTTCAGTGTTCCCTTAAGCTCCTACCGCAACATAAAGGCCATGGTTTGTCAGCATTTTTCTTGCAGAAATCATGAAAGCTGCAACAAATCCTGTTCCCCAAACAATGGCCTCTTTTGGTTTTCATCTTTGGATTGAATGTGCAGTTTTACTACATGCAGGGTAGAGGGGAAAGGAGCTGCAGTCTTTTCAATCATTTCAAGTTAATTGAAAAAGCCTCCAAATGTTGATATATATGTGAACCTTATCCTTTAAATCAACCCTTTATCCACAAGAAGAAGAAAAGACAGATATGCAATATCAGGAAAAACAAGGTTATGTAAGAAACCTGGCATGGTTCTATGGGAACCACAATCTGATCTGTACTTTTCTTCTGCTTTCAATATTTTTAGCTATATTAATTTACAACACCTAGTGGTGCTAATACTGCAGCATTCGGCCAACCTTGACTGATCTTGGAAAAAAAGACTGAACAGATTCAGATGAACAGGATGGGTGGCTAAGTTAGAGTGAAAAGTTTAAAAGGAAATATTAAAATCTTGGAAAAGACAGTAGAAAACCCAATTCCATAATGTTGCCTAGGGGAAAAAGGTATCCATGTAGTTATGAGAATTAAGCTTGACTGAAAAGGGAGGCAGCTTTACCCATTTTAGAGGTGTAAATTAATCAATAAGGATTCCCAGATCTTATCGCATTCAGTAACATCTATGGTTAAGATTGCAATTAAAAGCTGGGGGGAAGGGAAGGAAAGCTGATCTCATGTCCTAGTTTCAGCCTAACCCTACAGAGTAGATTATATGGGTTTGTTTTTTAATGGTTGGTGTCAGATTAAATTCATACTTAAGACACTACACTGAGTAGACATCTGGAATGTTTCCACTACAACACAGCGAAGTGACGTCTTGCCAATTTCTTAGTGCCATTTACAGCCCTTAAAAAACACTCCCTTCTCACGACCCTGTAATCCGTTAATTGCGAGTAGAGTTAAGGTGACTGGATGGACCTGAGCATTTACTGGCCAGACGCTCTTCCTGATGCCAAGCAGAATTCACAGCAGATATTTATTCTTTGCATCCTAGGAGAGAAATATCTGCTGCTACCTAGGATTGAACTCTCAACCTTCCGAGTGGGAGGCGAACATCTTGACCACTAGGCCACCACACCGCTCATACCTACAGCCCTTTCTAACTGATCAATATTGTATTAATGAATGCAGTCGGCTTTAGTATTTTCTTTTCTGTCCATCAAATTGTGCCTGCGTGAAGGCATATAATTTTACAGAATTATCAACAGTGATGGTACACAGGGATTGTAGTTATCATTAAATAATTTTAGCTCATAGGCAAAGTTTATTCAAAGTTACCCGAAGTAAAATGTCTGCATATTCATCTGCCCTCCGCTATCCCTCTCTTGATAATAATTCCATAATATAGAGGTTAGGCTGATAAAACTGTCCAATTCATAACTACTGAAAGTGGGCTCCATAAAGAGCTTTTTCCCCCCCAGAAAGCTGCTCTAACCACTACATATCAGTGCTTTTCAACTGTCATTATTTCTAAAAAAAAATACTAGCAGAATTACCAGTATCTCAACTTGTGAGGCATTGGTGAGATTTTCATGCTGGGAGAATCTTATCAATGAAGATAGTTTTTGTTCCACAAAATCTGATCCATTCATTTAAATCATCTATTTTCTACACCTCCCCCAAAAGATCAGGCCGTTGGGCATTTAGAATGTAGGAGTATCTTTTTGGTTACCAAATGTTCAATCTTCCTCTACAAACATGTCCCCATGTTCTACTACAATCTTTGAGAAGGTATTTGGGGGGAAAGAATATTATTTGCTATTTGGGTAAGTATTCCACTTTTTTTATAAAAATAAAATAAGAATTCGATAGGAATAGAATCTACATTCTTTTGCTAGACCAATTTCCTCTCATTTTCATTTTAGGGTACTTAGGTATTTTTAATATAGGAAGTTTATTACAATTCACATCAGAAGCAGTTAGATGGTTAGCTTCTTTAGAGATTGAATCATAACATAGCAATAACAATAACACTTAGACTTATATATCGCTTCAGAGTGCTTTTAGAGCCCTCTCTAAGCGGTTTACAGAGTCAGCATATTGCCCCCCAACAATCTGGGTCCTCATTTTATCCACCTCAGAAGGATGGAAGGCTGAGTCAACCTTGAGCCTGGTGAGATTCAATCTGCCAAACTGCAGGCAGCTGGCAGTCAGCAGAAATAGCCTGCAGTACTGCATTCTAACCACTGCGCCACCACAGCTCTTTATCCACCCCTTTGCAATTCTATGGCTCCATATTACGGTGATTTTATTATGGTTTCATCTTAATTTAATATATTAACTCCTATATTGCATTGTCCACATAATGTGTGTGTGTGTGTGTGTGTGTGTGTGTGAGCTGATGCTTTATTTAAACTAAATTTGTATATCAGCGATTGCATGACTTCTGTAGATATCATACACTAAGTAAACAATATAAACTGGTTAGAGAAGAAAGTAAGTAATTCACCTGAATTCAGGCTAGATAAGGAACATCTACTATAACCTTTCCACTGGTGAAGAAGAATTGCTACCACCTGCAGTAGAAATGAGGGTAATAGCATATAAACTGATTGTTAGTTGGATGTAATATATTACTGGCTGGGATACAGTTATAGATATTTCACTGA